GCTACCTGTTATGGATGTGCTACAAACAGGGCTCTCAGATCTTCTCATCTCAGTAACCGTCATCAGTAAAGCGAGAGATAAACATGAGCTAGAGGTAAACATGGTAAACAAACACAGTTGTACTGAGATTACTGTAGTAAGGGGAGGGCTGACCTGCTCTGAAGAACAGGTGTAATGCTTTTACAGGGACTAGTGATTAAATGCAATGTAAGTAGGAGTAAAATCTACTGAAAAAGGTTCAAAAAGAGCACTCTTCAGCAACATGAAAGAGAATCATTAAGGTTGTTTGGCACAAGGGAGAGAATAAGGCAGAAGGAATAACGTGTGACTTTTTTTTTTTTTTTACCTTTTGGTGTTTGGGGTGGAGGGGTGGAGGGGATGTTGTTCTTCAGAAATTTGTTTTCCAGAAGATACTGCTGGGCAAAGCTTACTTCTTGACCTCCCTCCACCCAAAATCAGACCCCAAACCCAAAGTAATCTTTTTAAATGCAAGGGAAACATGTCCTGTAAGAGCAAGCAACTGTTTTGGCAACTATTTTAGATAGGCCTGAAGCAGAGATGCTCCTCTTTGCGTGACCATAACAGCACTGGAACAAAGTGTTCCTCTTATGTTGCTAGATTACACACAACTGTGATTATATTCATTTGGAGTGCAGACACACAACAGGATCATCTTGTAAAACCAAAGATGTGGCCTGTGACTGAGATTTGGACATTTTCATTAAGCACAATCACAGTAACTGCCAAGTTATGTTGGGTCTGGAAAGCTGCTCAGCGGAAAAGGACCTGTGGGTGCTGGTTGAGAGCAAGCTGAACATGAGCCAGCGTGTGCCCAGGTGGCCAAGGAGGCCAAGGGCATCCTGGCTTTTATCAGCAATAGTGTGGCCAGCAGGATCAGGGTAGTGATCGTCCCCTTGTACTCAGCAGTGCGGTGAGGTGATATCAGAAATTTCCAAGCACAGGGAAGGACTCCTGATATCAGACATTCTGCTACTTTTTGTGACGCCTCACAATCAGCACCTGATCAAGGGACATGGAGACTAAAAACACACATGGAATTCCTCCTGCACCTGCCTGGATTTCAGAGTAGTATTAGCAAACTTTGACCAAGCAACATCCTTTCTTCCCCGAGCTGCCCAGCCACAAAATGAACAGGATCAGGAAACTGATCTGGGTTAAAAGTATCCATTTTTTGCTGGTTCCCCACATGCTCCAGAAGCAGGTGTTCCAGCAGAACCGACAGGGCAGCAGTGTTTGCACAAGTGAAAACTGTTTCTGAAACACCTTAGTATTCTCAGAGGTGTGAAGCCTCAAGAAGATCTTAGCAGCTGATTAAGAACATCACAAAAACGAAAGCAGAACTGTCCAAGGCCGGGCTGGATGGCACCCTGAGCAACCTGGTCCAGTGGAAGGTGTTGCTGCCCCTGGCATGGGGGATAGAACCAGGGATCTTTAAGGTCTCTTCTAACTCAAACCATTCTGTGGTTCTACGAAAGGCAGCCAAAGACACACAGTCCTAGAGGGAGTGTCCTGCTCACTGGAAGAGGTTCTTGTGTTTTGTAACACAAGAAGTGCAACAGTCTCTATGTAATAATTATTCCACAGCCATACAATGATGAAACTAAAACCTGAATTTGTCTAAAGATCACTTAGCAGCTTTTACAGAGAGTATTGCCCAGAAATCAGGAGAGGGATGATAGAATGTAGTCTGTTTCCATGACTCTCTGGGACAGCAAATCAAGACTTGGAGAATGAGTTCCAAAAAAGTTAATTGCCACTGCTGGCTTGCACAAGTCACAGAAGAAAATGGGGCATCAAGTGTGAATACTCTTGTTTCGAATACTTGTCAGAAAAATTAAGCACCCTTTCCTCTTGTAAGAGCAGGAAAGCAGAAGCATTCGGTTTCTCTTCCCTAGTTACATTTACTGCTTCAGACTTCAGTTTCCTGTTTTTTGCAGCAAGGGGTTTAATCTCTTCTAATCTAATCGAACCATCAAGCAGAAATTCTCCCATCTGACAGTCAGTTGTGGCTGGTTTCCAAAGATCCCCTCCTACAGCACCCAGCCCATGTGCCAGCACAGCAGGTAAAGGTTTGCCTTCCTCAGGCAAAGCAGCTGGACATGTGAGGGGGACTTGGTGATCATTCTTTTGAACATGTTATGCTTATCATGGGCATGCAGTTAAGACTGCGAAACTGCGTTATGTCTTGTTGGAATTAAAAATAAAACTGAGATGCTGTGGTTGGAGCTGCAGGGAGCAACGTGAGACCAACGTGATCCTGGGCCTGTGGGTCAAAGTCCAGAAATACGTTGGCTTAGACACGCATCAAACTGCCAGGAAGCATTTCCCGTTAGCTCACTAGACCTCAGTGCCCACTGACCCGCCCTTTGCGGTGGGGAGAGGTGAAACAGCCTAGAATGACAGAAATATCTGTCCAAAATGCCTCGTCTGCCTAGTCCTTATCAGACCCCGTGCCCCGAGATGCTTTGCAGACTGAAATTCCCCACATCAGAGGCCTTGCAGTGAGACCACGGGCACCTCATCGAGAGAGGGCGAGCATCGCACAGCCTCACTCTCAGCCTCGAGCCTTCGGACGAGCTGCAGCAGAGCAACCACCAGGACCCAGCGCTGTGCTCGCCTTTACTCCAGGGCCACATGCAGCGTTGCTGGCGTTGCCCTGGAGCACCGGCGCTTCCTTCACACCCCTCCTTACAGGCTCGGTTTTCACCCCGGCAGCCCAGGAGCCCCGGGGCGCTGGGAGGAGCCCCACGGGA